GTGGCCATTGGAGGGTGAACCAACGGAAAAGGAAGACCTTTCTCTCTCTCTCACTGTCCACTCTGCCTGTCAAAAAAAAAAAAAAAAAAAAAAAAAGGAAAGGGAAGTGTGATATTGAAGACGCTAAGATTTTAAATCATTTATGAAAAATTCCATTAGGACAGAAAGAAGAGAAATAGAATCACTGCTGAAAGGCTGCCACAGAATCAAGGGGAGGATTCCTCTTCAGAGACAAAATAGAAAGGTGTCAGGTAGGATGCTTTTGGTTGCACGTGACAGAAAAGCCCACTCAAGTGAGACTTAAAAAATACATGGAATCTATTGACTCATGAGGCTAACTTTAGATCCAGAGACTGAAGGTCTTACCTGGGTTCTGCCTTCACATGTTTATGGCGCTTTTTTTTTTTTTTTTTTTTTTTTTTGACAGGCAGAGTGGACAGCGAGAGAGAGAGACAGAGAAAGGTCTTCCTTTGCCATTGGTTCACCCTCCAATGGCCGCTGCGGCCGGCGCACCGCGCTGATCCGATGGCAGGAGCCAGGAGCCAGGTGCTTTTCCTGGTCTCCAATGGGGTGCAGGGCCCAAGCACCTGGGCCATCCTCCACTGCACTCCCTGGCCACAGCAGAGGGCTGGCCTGGAAGAGGGGCAACTGGGACAGAATCCGGCGCCCCAACCGGGACTAGAACCCGGTGTGCCGGCGCCGCTAGGCGGAGGATTAGCCTAGTGAGCCGCAGCGCCGGCCCTATGGCTTTTCTTAACCCTGTCTTTCTTTCACGTTGATTTTTATCCCCAGGTTCATTTTCCTTATGGTATTAGGAATGGCTCCAGCAAATCCATCCTCACATACATCCCCTAGGTATCATCTCTCCCTTCTCCATTCCAGAGGGAAAAAACCAAGCATTTTTGTATCAGTCAGGATTCTCGTTTGCAAGCAACAAAAATGGGATCTCTCCCTTACCCAAACAGAAAAGATATTTATTATAAAGAAATCAAACAGCTCTCAGAAGGACAACTAGTCATATAAATGGGGAGAAAGCAAGAGAAGTCAGCACTAGGAACCACGGTCAAGGTCAGCAAGGGAAGAGTGTGGTTAGGGCAAGGCTGGCACCAGACATTGACCACCAGACACTGCTGTGGCAGAGGACTGTTGCTACCGTGACTGGATACTGGTGCCTCTGCCATGCCTGAATTATAAATTGTGTCATCTTTGTGTCACTCAGTATTCCAGGCCCTGGCTGGAGCATCCGACTGATCACGGCTGAGTCACGCACCAGCACCTTGGCTGCCAGGGAGTGGAAGAGGCAATATTTGGTTTCTCTAGGCTTCTGTAGTGGGAATGAGGTTCTGGCTCTCACAGATTCCTGTAAAGGAAGCCTCTCCTTTAGCAGGAAGCATTTGTGGACGCTGGGCAGACCAAAAAATGCTAAACCTCCACCTTTTGGGTTTTGGCCCGAATCCAGCCATGTGCTGTTTAAAAAAGAACCACTTAAAACTTGTATGCATAGAATGCTGGCAAATAAAAGGTATAGAAAGAGACATACTGGGTTAATATTTACCAAAACAAAACTGAGGAGCTAAATGAGTATCAGAGAAAATGGACCTCAAGACAAAAAGCATTCACAGGGATAAAGAGGTGTAATAGATAATGATAAAGGGTTTAATTCAGCAGGACAATATAATAGTTCTAAATTGTATGTATCTAAAATAATAGCTCAAGAGAAACAAGTAAACAATAAAACTAGAGAAAGAAATTCATAAAATCCACCATTATACTTTTCAAATATTAATAGTTCAACCTATACAAAAATCAACATAGGATGTTTTAATAATGTAATTAACAAGTTGGATTTATTGAACATCTGTAGAGCCTGGGGCCTACACGTAGCAAATTCATGCTTTTATTTATATTGTGTAATCCTTTTGAGGTTCTTCTTCTTCTTTTTTTTTTTTTTTTTTTTGATGTGCTCATTTGTAACTAAACATATTGTTTCTGTTTTTTTTTTTTGGTTTATTTACTTTTTTTTTAAAATTTGACAGGTAGAGTTATAGACAGTGAGAGAGACAGACAGAGAGAAAGGTCTTCCTTCTGTTGATTCACTCCCCAAATGGCTGCTATGGCCAATGCTGTGCCGATCCGAAGCCAGGAGCCAGGAGCTTCTTCCTGGTCTCCCATGTGGGTGCAGGGGCCCAAGCACCCGGGCCATCCTCCACTGCCCTCCTGGGCCACAGCAGAGAGCTGAACTGGAAGAGGAGCAACCAGGACTCAAACCGGCACCCATATGGGATGCCGGTGCTGCAGGTGGAGGATTAACCAAGTGAGCCACGGCGCCCCTATTTTTTTTTATATACAAAAGATGGGAGGTGGAGAGAGAGAGAGAGAGAGAGAGAGAGAGAGAGATCGATCTTCATCCACTGGTTCATTCCCTAAATGCCCACAACAGCTAGGGCTGGACCAGGCCAAAGCCAGGAGCCCGGAACTCTATCCAGGTTGGTGGCAGGGACCCAAGTGCTGCTGCCTCCCAGGATGCACAGTAGCAGGAAGCTGGATCAGAAGCAGAGTAGAAAAGTAAATTACTGGGGGCCTGGAGTTGTAGCCTAACATGTCAAGCTGCCAGCTGCGATGCTGACGTCCCATGTAAACTCTCTCAACTTTATAAAATTAAAGGGAAAAATATACATTTTTCTGAAAGACAAATAATTAACAAACGAATTGCTGCTAAAAATGTGAAAGGGGCCCAAAAGAAGAATCCAAGAAGGTTTTACAGGAGAGGCAAGCACATGAACTGAACTGAGGCCTGATGACTATGTTTACCAAACAAGTAGAAGTGAGAAAGGGGGAAGGAAGGGAAGATATTCCAAGTAAAGACGTGAGAGGGAGAACTGAATAGCATCTTTGAGAAACAAAATTATTCCCCAGGCATTTGAGATGAATTCACCTGCTGAAGAACAGGCACGAGGGAGAAGCCATGGCTGCCTCTCAGGGGTCCCGGGATGCACATTAGAGACTCTGGATTCAATTTTACAACCAGCGGGAAGCTTTTAAACTTGAAAATCACAGAATTAGATTTTTGTATCAGATTGGAAAGAATCTGGCAGGCATATGAGCCTACAATTAACTGGATATTCTTTCATAAATATGAACTTCTAGAGGATCAAAATCCATAGGTACTGACTTTTTCAATCGTCTCATAGCATAGGATAGAAAAATGCCCACACCTAGTGTGAACTGTTTGTTGGTGTGGGGGTGTCAATGGCCAAAGAAACACTGCTTTTCTTGGGCTTAGAGAATGTTTAACAAACTCCGCTGGGGGTTGGACTAGTCGTAGAAGTCTGTTCATAGGTAGTGGCTGAAGTCTATCTGGATTAAGGAAAGAGTGGGCCAAACGAGGCAACAGTGATAGAGATGAGGAATCCTAGGACCTTTTAAAAAAAATGGTGTTTAGTTTAATGTGGTAGGGCTCGTAATACGTGAACATGAAAGGTATAAAATCCTAGACTCTCACATTGGAAAGAAACTTTTAAACTCATCTTGTTGTACCGGCCTTTTAATCACTCCTGCGAAGTCCCTGCTTGGATTCCTCGGGGAACAGGGGGGTCAGGCACTATCTTCCAAGACGGTCCATTCTATTTCAGAAGTTTCTGTAAGGAAGTTATTCCCGAGGTGGGTGTTTAGCCTAATGGTTAGGACACAGTTTTAAGACATTTGCATTCCATATAGGAGTACCTGGGTTGAATACTCAGCTCCAGCTTCTAACTCCAGTTAATGCAATCCCTGGGAGGCAGCAGTGATGGTTTGAGTAGCTGGGTCCCTGCCACCCATGTTGGTGACCTGGATTGAGTTCCTGGCTTCTGGCTTTGACCTGGGCTAGCTCTGGCAGTCGTGGGCATCTGGGGAGTGAACCGGAGGATGGGAGTTCTTTCTGTGACTTTCTCTTTAAAATAAATAAGTAAATCCCTAAACTACAGGGCTTCTGACTCAAGGTTCAGGAATCCAGTTTAATGAAATAAGGAAAAGGAGAATCAAAAATGCTTGATGCCTTCTGATTTCCGGATTCTAAAAGTTTTCTATCTTTCTGTAGTGTTTGAAGGTACTGACAAAGACCTTCCTCAAATCCTTCACTGCCACTTTCCCAGGTATATTAGCAGGGAGCTGGATTGGAAGTGGAGCGTCTGGGACTGGAACTGGCGCCCAAATGGGAAGCCAGCATTGCAGGTGGTGGATTAACCCTCTGTGCCACAATGTTGGCCACAATTTCTAGTAATTTAAATATGGCTATCAAGTACTTGTTAGTTTTGTTAATAATTTCAACATTTTATCATTTCTCAGAGGATATGGTCTATCATTTTTATTTATTTCCACAGAGTATGTTCTAGTTTGTCGCTACCCCTTTTAAAATGTAATGTCCAGGATGGGTGTTGTACACCTGAGTTAAGCTGCCACATGGGACACCCACATCTTATATTGGAGCTTCTGGGACTAAGTGTTGCCTCTGTTTTCCCCCCAGCTCTCTGCTAATGCACCTGGGAGGAAGCGGGTGGTGGCTAAAGTATTTGAGTCCCTGCCATCCACCTGGAAGACCCAGGTGGAGTTTCTGGCTCCTGTTGTGGACATCTGGGGAGTGAACCAGAGGATGGAAGATCTCTCTGTCATTCTGCCTTTCAAGAAAATAATGTCTTTAGAAAAGATAAAATGTAGTGTCCAATACAGAGTAAAAGACCTACACAAACTCAAGATCATTCAGCTAGATAATGAACTTCTTTTGTGTGAGATAGTATCAAATTAAACCTTACAAAGCAAGGTAAAAAATTTGAACTTTACTCTTTCAGGCATAAGGGAATTATCAAAGGTTTTTGAGCAGATAAACCTCTGAGCACTGGGGTCATATCTTACTGTGTACCCCACTGACCCTAATTAGAATGTGTCAGGTGTCTGTCATATCCATGGCATAGCTTCTGTGCCTAGGAGAGGGCTGGCACATTGTAACAATGTGGTATACTCACATGAATTATTGCCTGTATCAGTGCTTGGGGTTTGTGCACACACAATTCATGCCTGTTGAATGAAGGAAGGTAAATTATTAAAGCTGTGCTTTAGGAAAATAACTGGCAAGAGCATGTAAAAGGTATTGGAGACAGGAAACAACACACAACATGAGAAGAACATTTGTAGTGATTCCAACAAGAGAAAACATAACAGATATTTTAAGAGACTATGATAAATTCCTTCTGGGGTAAGTTGAATTTAAGGTACTGATTAAACATGCTCAGGAGGCAGAAATACGGGACTGGAAGTTAGGGGTAGAGAAGAGCAAGACGGGGGCCAGTGTTCAGGCCCATCAGTGACCGGGCTGCCATGTGGGATGCCTGTCCCTTATCAGAGGCTGTGGGTTAGAGTCCCAGCTACTCTGCCTGCCACTTGCCATGCAGCTTCCAGCTACAGCGCACCCCAGGAGGCAGCAGGTGATAGCTCAATACTTGAGCCCCTGCCACCCACGTGGAAAACCCCTATAGGGGTCCAGCTCCTGGCTTTGGCCTGGCCCAGCCCCAGCTATTGCAAGCACTTGGGAGATGAACCAGCAAATGAAGGGTCTTTCTCTGAGCGAGATCTTTGGAATTGAGGGTCACCCACGGATAGGATAAGGGAAATCATAGTAAGTGAGATGGCCACAGCAGAATTGGAGACAAAGTCATGCCTGCATTAATGAAGAGTAAAGATATCAAGGAGCCACAGAAGGCACAGTTACAAGTAGAAGAACCCCAAGAGAGCAGGGTCATGGAATTGATGAGACAAGGGATTTGAGGAAGGCCTTTGTCAGTACCTTCAAACACTACAGAAAGATAGAAAACTTTTAGAATCCGGAAATCAGAAGGCATCAAGCTTTTTTGATTCTCCTTTTCTTTATTTCATTAAACTGGATTCCTGAACCTTGAGTCAGAAGCCCTGTAGTTTAGGGATTCAGACTTCTCACCCACAGCTGCCAAGTTCTAATAAACTGATCTGGATCCTATTAGGTTGCTATTTTTCCACCTACCCCTTAGAAAGTAAAATACAATTCTTTGGGGGATAAAAAAGGAAAGTAAAAAGGCTGATATAGCTGGTGCCGCGGCTCACTAGGCTAATCCTCTGCCTAGCGGCGCCAGCACACTGGGTTCTAGTCCCGGTCGGGGCGCTGGATTCTGTCCCGGTTGCCCCTCTTCCAGGCCAGCTCTCTGCTGTGGCCAGGGAGTGCAGTGGAGGATGGCCCAAGTGCTTGGGCCCTGCACCCCATGGGAGACCAGGAAAAGCACCTGGCTCCTGGCTCCTGCCATCGGATCAACGCGGTGCGCCGGCCGCAGCGCGCCGGCCGCGGCGGCCATTGGAGGGTGAACCAACGGCAAAGGAAGACCTTTCTCTCTGTCTCTCTCTCTCACTGTCCACTCTGCCTGTCAAAAAAAAAAAAAAAAAAAAAAAAGGCTGATATTTAGGGCCGGTGCCGTGGCTCACTTGGCTAATCCTGCGGCACCGGAATCTTATATGGTCCCGGGTTCTAGCCCCGGTTGCTCCTCTTCCAGTCCAGCTCTCTGCTGTGGCCCGGGAAGGCAGTGGAGGATGGCCCAAGTGCTTGGGTGCCTGCACCCACGTGGGAGACCAGGAAGAAGCACCTGGTTCCTGGCTTCGGATCAGCATAGCTCTGGCCGTAGCGGCCATTTGGTGGGGTGAACCTTTCTCTCTGTCTCTCCCTCTCACTGTCTGTAACTCTACCTGCAAATAAATAAATAAATAAATCTTTAAAAAGATAAAGGCTGATATAATTTTGCTTCTAAGTATGCCATGTATATTCCTGGCTCTCATTTTCATATGGGGGGATCCCAGGTTTTATGAGGAGGGAAGTCTCTCTTTAAGAAAAAGAATACAATGTTTTGAATACAAATTGAGGTCAAAAACTTTTTGAGTGGGAGAAAAAGGTCACAGCAAATTCTTGGAACCTGGCTATTCTGTTTCCTTTCTTCAAAGACCTCTTAGGGAGCAACAGCTTGTCTTGAGAGACTCACTATCCTGACTGGTAGATCCAAAAATCTGCTTTCCAAAGAGAAGACCGGTCCTAGGATTTTTAAAAAAGTGCTTTTGAAGGTTTCTGTTTTGTTTGAGATGAGTAGCAGCACTGTTCAGGACTAAAGGAGGGAAAAGGAGGCGGGGCATCCATCTGCTCATTCATGCTAATGTAAGAAACAGAGCAACAGCATTATAAAGCCTCAGGAAAGTCACTTCCTCTCTCACTTCCAGAGAGATCCATCACCTCTCTCTTTCCCAGTGTTCCAATCCTAAATCACTTCATACTTCCCACCTCCAGGGCCCTGTTACCCTTGAAGAAACTCCCAAGCTAAAATGACCCAGCTCTTCTCTCCTGGCTATAGGTTAGTGTGAAGGGAGAGGTGATGGGTCAAGAAATACAATAAAAAGGTTTTGAACTATAATCCTTACAAAGCAAAGTTATTCTCTGGCTAATAGAAATCATCAGAGGTCCCCCCACCCACAACTTGCTTTATAGAAGACTATGCCCAAGACGTTCCCTTTCACATGGAAGTTTCTTTTCCAGAAAAGCTCTAAATAATAATAATAATAATAAAATTCTTTACATCCCACAATCATTTCCCCAGTATTCTCCAAGCTCATAGGAAGGTGCTATGAAGCTTGGAAAACTATTCCATTTTTTCTCAGTGAAAACTCCACTGGAAGGCTATAAGGGTAGTTATTTACCTTGTAGGGTAGTGATATCCAAGGCGGGATTTGGCTGCTGTCGGAGGAGTCTCCTGCCTCTTGAGCACATCTCTTGGCAGCCTCTCCTCTTTTTATCAACCCCCTCTTACAAAAGGAGAGTGGTTGGTAGCTCTGTCCCTTCCCCACTCCCACACTGAGCTCAGAAGCTTCATGAATAGTTCAACTAAAACAGGATCAAGTTTCGGACACTCCCACGGTGAGTGAGAAAACGATCCCACTAGATTAAATTGGAGCCTAGATCAGTGGAGGAATATTTCCATCACTCTGTCAGGGCTGGGGCAGCCAAGGTTAATATCTCAGGTAATACCTCCTAAGTAGGATCACATGGGTGGTGGAGGATGGATCAGTAACCAGGTTTTTGGTCTGTGCAATGGGTCTCTGGATTAGCAGCATCACCCTAGTAACTCGTTAGATATTCAAATTCTCGAATGCCTGTTCCAATCTTAATGAATAATAAGTCTTGGAGGTGTTAACAACTATGTTTTAACCAGGTCTTCTAGGTGACTGTGTGATGTATACTCAAATTTGAGAACTACTTGTCTATAGGATCCCTCATTTCTTAAAATAATTTACTTATGGCATTTGGATTAGAAAAATCAAAATGATTTCACTGTTACAAGTGTTCATAAACAGCTCCAATACATACTTTACTACTATTTCCTCAAAGGTTTGATTTGGCTTGTATTTGGTTCATTAAAAATACTTGGTGTGTGTGTGGGGTGGGTAGCATTGTGCATAGCGGGTAAAATCCCTGCCTACATCTTCAGCATCCCATATGGGCATCTGTTTGTGTCCTGGCTGCTCCACTCCCAATCCAGCTCCCAACTAATGGCCTGGGAAAAGCAGCTTGGGTCTCTGTACCCATGTTCGAGACCCAGCTGGAGTTCCTGTCTCCTGGCTTTGTCATGGCTCAGCCCTGGTCATTGCAGCCACTTGACGAGTGAACCAGATGATGGAAGATTCTCCCGCCCCCCCCCACAACTCTTTCAAGTAAAATGAATAAATCTTTAAAAAAAAAAAGAAGAAGAAAAGAAACTACGCTGGGGGCAGACATTTAGCCTAGCAGCTGAGATGCCAGAGTCCCATATTGGAGTGTTGCGTTCAACGTGTGGCTCCAGCTCCTGACTCCAGCTTCCTGAGAAGCAGCCTGATGGCGCAAATGGCTGTGTTCCCGCTGGCCATGTGGAAGACACGGACCGAGTTCCCAGCTCCAGCTCCAACTCCAAGCTTCAGTGTTTGAGGAATGGGCTTGCAGATGGGAGTCTCTCTTGCTCTCGCTCTCGCTCTTGCTCTCCTTCCGTATCTCTGCCCCTCAAAGAAAAGTGGCTATGATGCTCATGTTCCACACAAAAGTGCCTGGGCTGGATTTCTGACTGTGGCTCCTGACTCTGGCTCGTGTGGACTTGGGAAGCAGCCGTGATGGGTCAAGTAATTGGGTTCCTGCTTCCCGGGTGGTGGACCCGGCTTGAGTACCTGGTTCAGCCCTGGCTGTTATGGGTATTTGGGAGTAAACCAAGAGATGGATCTCTGTCTGTCTGCCTCTCTGTCTGTCTGTCTATCTGCCTCTTTTTCTGCCTCTCAAATGAAAAACAATTTGTTTTTTTTTTACAGGACACCTATGTGTATTTGCTTCTAAGTACATAGAATTTTCTGGAGGCAAAATTCCAGGGCTTTTAGGAGACAGATTGATTGGGTGGTAGCGACACATTATCTACTTAAAATTTCTTTTTTTTACAGTTGATAATTCTTGGAAATATTATCAGACCTTAAAGTAGAAACTCTCGTGACAAGTGTTCTCTCTTTAATATTTACTGAATGTTTACTAGTGTTAATCATGGTGCTGGGTGCTGGGAATAGAATGCAAAGTAAGATATAGTCCTGGCCCTCAACTTTTTTTTTCTTCCTAAATAATAATACATATAGATTTAAAAAATATTTTCTGTTTCCAAGTTTTTCTTGCCATTGACCATGCTATTTCAAATTGTGTGGGAGAGCTGTGTCAAGGGAAGGGTAACATCTATTTCTTTCCAGCGTGGGGGGAACTAAGCTAGAAACAAAACCAGGCATGGGAGGGCCAGCACTGAGGTGCAGCAGGTTAGTTCTCTGCCTGCGATGCCGGCATCCCATATGGGTGCTGGTTCCAGACCCGGCTGCTCTGGATCGGAAGATCCAGCTCTCTGCTATGGCCTGAGAAGGCAGTGGAAGATGGCCTGACTGCCTTGGGCCCCTGCACCCACGTGGGAGACCTGGAAGAAGCTCCTGGCTCCTGGCTTTGGGATTAGCTTAGCTCTGGCTGTTGCGGCAATTTGGAGAGTGAACCAGCGGATGGAAGTCCTTTCTCTCTGACTATCCCTCTCACTGTCTGTAACTCTACCTCTCAGATAAATAATAAATAAAATCTTTTAAAAAACAAAGAAACAAATTAAAGCCGGAGCCACGGCTCAATAGGCTAATGCTCCGCCTGCGGCGCCGGCACACAGGGTTCTGATCCTGGTTGGGGCGCCGGATTCTGTCCTGGTTGCCCCTCTTCCTGGCCAGCTCTCTGCTGTGGCCCAGGAGTGCAGTGGAGGATGGCCCAGGTTCTTGGGCCCTGCACCTACCCGGCTTCTGGCTTCGGATCAGCACGGTGTGCCGGCCGTAGCGTGCCGGCCGCAGTGGCCATTGGAGGGTGAACCAATGGCAAAAGGAAGACCTTTCTCTCTATCTCTCTCTCACTGTCCACTCTGCCTCTCAAAAAAAAATTTTTTTTTTAAAAACCCAAATAAAACCAGGCTTAGGGTCTTACTATGACATCTACTGTTTACTTAGTGATGGATTTTTTAAAAGAGAGATCTCCTTTTCTTTCTTTCTTTTCTTAAAGATTTATTTTATTTATTTGAAAGAGTTACAGAGAGAGGTAGAGACGGAGAGAGAGAGGTCTTCCATCTGCTGGTTCACTCCACAGATGGCTGTAATGGCCGGAGCTGAGCCAACCCAAAGTCAGGAGCCAGGAGCTCCTTCCAGGTCTCCCACGTGGGTGCAGGGGCCCAAGGACTTGGGCTATGTTCTACTGCTTTCCCAGGCCATAGCAGAGCGCTGGATCGAAAGTGGAGCAGCCCGGACTAGAGCTGGGGCCCATATGGGTTGTCAGTGCTTCAGGCCAGGACTTTATCCTACTGCACCACAGCACTGGCCCCATTATCTACAACTTTTTGTGAGATATGTTTTCCCAGTGCCTATCTTCAGCTACTCCAACTCCTTCACTTTTTTTTTTAAAAAGACTTATTTTATTTATTTGAAAGCAGAGTTACAGAAAGAGAGAGAAAGGGAGAGACACAGAGAGAGGAAGATCTTCCAACCACTGGTTTACTCCCCAGATGGCCAGAGCTGCGCCAATCTGAAGCCAGGAGCCAGGAGCTTCTTCTGGGTCTGCCATGTGGGTGCAGGGGCCCAGGGACTTAGGCTATCCTCCGCTGCTTTCCCAGGTGGATTAGGAGGTGGTGGCTTAACCCATGAAGCTATAATGCTGGCCCTCATTTTTTTAAATATTTATTTATTTATTTTGAAAGTCACAGTTACAGAGAGAGGGAGAGGGAGGGACAGGGGAAGGAGGGAGAGACAGAGATCATCCATCCACTGGTTCACTCCCCAGATGGCCACGAATGGGCAGCCCTGGGCCAGGCCAAAACCAGGAGCCAAGAACTTCATCCGGATCTCCCATGTGAGTGGTAGAGGCCTAAATACTTCGACCATCTTTTCCCAGGCCATTAGCAGGGAGCTGGATGTAAAGTGGAGCAGCCAGGACATGACCTGTGGCCAATTTGGGAGGCCAACACTGCAGGCAGCAATGTTACCTGCTATCCCACAATGCTGGCCTCTTCAGCTCCTTTGTTTTCAAATCTGCTCCCTTCCAACATCAGTTTCCAGAATTCTCCATCATTTCTCAGGCCAATTAACTTCCTGCTTCCCTTGTTTCTCCAGTCAGTTCATTGCCCTCCCATAGACTTAAACTGTGCTGTGTTTGTAGCTGTAGAATCTTCCAGGCCCAGGATATGATTCTGATTTGTCAGTTTGTAGGATCAATTCTGGGTAAACTGTTCTGGCACGTTCTTTCCTCAGACAAGGTGATAACAGTGCTCTGTGGTTTCTTGAAAATTTGTGCCTCAGAACCTTCTGCAATGGTTTTATTCTTCCCCATCTAACTTCTCAATCGATTGCCTACAAGGCTGTAGCCACAGCCAACCTCATTTCTACCTCAGAACTTTCACTAGTAATGCTCTTTGAGAAACAAAATCATCACACTGCTGACGTCAGTTTCCTTTCCTCCCCTTCAGAATGTCTGCGCGTCACTCCTGACCGTGTGCCTTGGTTTTCTGAGCATAACCCTTGCGAACGCAAGCCTAGCCCGATCTCCTCATTTCCCCCATGACTCAGTCCCACTTGTGTTTTCACAGGCACGTATCTTTTCTTGCCATCTGAATTTCCCCCTCTCTGTGAGCTCAGTCCATAGATGTGTGTTATTATTTCCCACTCATACCGTAGCTCCTGCCCCAGCTACTGTTTTTCTTCAAGGGCTTGTCTTCATGGGCATGTTTCTTGAGAAAGTGATCTATGCTAATAAGTTGCCTCTATTTTCTGCTCACTTCTCACCCACCTGCAATCTGGTTCCCGTTCCTTACGGTTACTCATCTCTCCTCCTCTTCCTTAACTAGTCAGAACAAGCTGTTTCATCTTGAATGTCCTTTGGCTTCTGATGCCATAGTCTTTCCTGGGTGTTTCTTTACCTTCCTCCATAATCTGAAACAGTCATTTCTTGAGGCATTATTTTTCTTACCTCCTTCTTATCTCTCTCTCTCTCTCTCTCTCTCTCTCTCTGTCTCTCTTTCTCTCTCTCTCTCTTTTTAAAGGCAGAGAGAGGGGCTGGATCTGTAGAACAGCAGGTAAGGCCACCACCTGCAGTGCCAGCATACCATATAGGTGCCGATTTAAGTCCCGGCTGCTCCACTTCTGATCCAGCTCTCTGCTGTGGCCTGGGAAAGTGGTGGACTATGATCCAAGTGCTTGGGCCCCTGCATCTGCATGGGAGACCCAGAAGAAGCTCCTGGCTCCTGGCTTTGGATCATCCCAGCTCTGGCCATTGCAATCATTTGGGGAGTAAACCAGCAGATGGAAGACCTCTCTCTCTTTCTGCCTCTGCCTCTCTGTAACTCTGTAACTCTGCCTTTCAAATAAATAATCTTAGGAAGAAGAAAGAAAGAAAGAAAGAAAGAAAGAAAGAAAGAAAGAAAAGAAAAGAAAGGGAGAGAAAGAAAGAAAGAAAGAGAGAAAGAGAGAGAAAGAGAGAAAGACATAGAGACAGAGCTCCCATCCACTGGTTTACTCTCCTAGTGCCTGAAACGGCTTTGATTGGATTGGGCCAAAACCAGGAACCAGGAACTCAATCCAAGTCTCCCATGTCAGTGGCAGGGAACTAAATACTTGAGCCATCACTTGCTGCTCCACAGGATCTGCATTGGCAGGTAGCTGCAATTAGGAGCTGGAGCTGGATCACAAACCAAGGTACTTTGATATGGAGAGTGGGCATTCTAACTGAATTTTTTTAAAAGATTTATTTATTTATTTTAAAGGCAGAGTTACAGAGATGCAGAGGCAGAGAGAGAGAGAGAGGGAGAGATCCTCCTCCACTGGTTCACTCCCCAAATGGCTGCAATGGCCAGAGCTGGGTGATCCAAAGCCAGGAGCCAGGAGCTTCCTCCAGGTCTCCCACATGGGTGCAGGGGTCCAAGCAACAGGGCCATCTTCTACTGCCCTCCCATGCCATAGCAGAGAGCTGGATCAGAAGTGGAGCGTCTGAGCCTCAAGCTGGTGCCTATATGGGGTGCTGGCACTGCATGTGGTGGGCTCACTTGGCTATGCCACAACGCCGGCCCCCATAACTGGTGTCTTAATTGTCAGGTCAAACATTAGCCCCTTATCTTAAAATATATATTCTTATCACTTGTAATATTAGTGGTTTTTTAAAGATTTTTTTAAAATTTATTTGAAAGGCAGAGTTCCAGTGAGACAAGGAATGAGAGAGAGGGAGAGAGAGACAGAGATCTTCCATCTACTGGTTCACTCCCCCAGATGGCCACAATGGCCAGGGCTGGGCCAGGAGCTTCTTCTGGGTCTCCCATTTGGGTGCAGGGCCCAAGAACTTGGGCTGTCTTCTGTTGCTCTCCCGGGAGCATTAGCAGGGAGCTGGATCAGAAGTGGAGCTGCGGGTTCTTGAACCAATGCCTGTATGTGATGCCAGCGTTTCAGGTGGAGGCTTAATCTGTCTCACCACAATGCTGGCCCCCAGCATCAGTGTTGTCATTCTCTGGAACCATGAATCTTTAATAGTCAATGTACAAGTTCAGGTCTTGGTCTCACCTCTTTTCTAGGCAAGTGCTCTGTGATTTCATATGCATAATAACCATTTTTTTTTCTAATGATCTTACCAACCAATCCAACAACTGAATTTGAATAGGATAAATTTGAACTTCCACTTTGCACCTGTATCTGTTATTGACATATAAAGGTCTTCTTTGACAATAGAGATTCCTTTCATTCCATCTTCAATTACATGGTTGTATTTGTGGCAA